CTTTTACAGCTTAGCATATTAATATGGCTTTACTTTTTGTACCTCATTTTTATACTTTTCTGCTGGATGATTAAGACCAAGATAAAGTAAGACCTATACAAGAAGAACTGTAAAAATGTTGTGTTTTGTTTGATAAAGGACTTTTTCTGTATTACTGAAATGATCATGTGATTTTTGTTCTTACTGTTGTTAATATGATATTTTGTGTTCATTACTTTCATTCTTGTATCCTTTTATCATGATGTGTGATCTTTTTATTTTTGCTAGTATCTTTTTGATGATTTTAGCATCTATGTTCATTAAATAAATTGGCACATAGTTTTCTTTTCTTTTTTGTGAAGACCTTGTCTGGCCAAAAAACAAAACAAAAAAGAAAGACCTTGTCTGGTTTTGGTGTCAAGGAAATCTCTGCTTTGAGGAATGAGTTTGTTAGGGATCCTTTTCTACGAATTGCATGGAAGTGTTTCAAGAGTGTTGGCCTTAGATGTTTACTCACTTTTTGGTAGAAGGCTGTAGTGAATCTATTAGGTCCTGGGCTCTTCTTAATTGGTAGGGTTTACATTACTTATATTTCTGTTATTGAACTATTCAGGCAATTTATATATTCTTGGTTCACTTTTGGTAATTTATGGGTCTTTGAGGTTCTCCACTATATTGTAATATAAATTTTTAAAATAGTTTCTTATGATCCAGCAGGTTAGCTCAGCAGATTAAAGCACTTGCTTAGGCAGATGCAGGAACCGGGGTCCTATCGTGGGCATGCTGTGCTGATTCAGCCCCCAGGGCAGGCTGAGACAGTGATTGAGACTGGGTGTGGTGGTGCACCTGTAATCCCAGTGCTTGGGAGGCTGGAACAGGAGGATCACTATGAGTCTGACCTGTATAGTAAGATCCTATAAATCCTATACTAAATAAAAAAATAAATGAATACATAAAATAAAGTAGTTCCATATAGTCCTCTGGATTTCAGTGGTGTTCATTTTAATTTTACCCTCATTTCTCTTTGTATTCTTTCTTTTAGCAACTTTGACTAAGGCTTTTTATTTTTTCCATAATTTTATTGATAAACAAATAGCAATGAGACAGTTTCAAATCAAATTGTTAGGACAGTTTCAATAATTAACACATTGCATACATTCTTCCTAGTGGTTAATTGCTGTACAAGATGCAGACATGATATCCTATTTACAAACACTATTAGAACAAATCCCTCTATTCATTAAGAGAATGTAACTATATATCTATCGTAACCAGTTTGAATACACAGATACAAAATGGGCATTCATCTGTATTCATTTTTTTTTTGTTAAGTTGCGTTATTTGAATATTATAGGTGTGTAAACTCAGCAAAATATTCTAAAAGAGTCCAGTAGCCCATAATAGTATTGGGTCTTCCGCTTGACTGGCAATGTCAGAAATTGTTGACCTGAGTCCCCCACAGCTCAACATAACAGCATGGCTTTACTTCTTCTATTTCATTTTTATACTTTTCTGCTGGGTGGTTAAGACCAAGGTAAAGCAGGACCTATGCAACAAGAGTTGTAGCTTTTGGGTCTGATAAGGTCAGTCAAATCTCCTCAGGATTTATCCTGAGATCCTGTACCTCAGATTGTAGAACCTTTGTCAGTGTCAGCCATGTGGATGAGTCACGGCCATTGCTTGGCCAATGTACTCTCTGTGAAAGCCTGAGAGAATGTTTTCTCTCCATGTGACTCTTCTTAGGCACACTCTACATCATTGATCACTTTCCTCTTTGGTCCTATAATCTCCTTGATCAGAAAATTTGGGACACTACTGAGTTACATGACGTTACAGTACAAGTTCTCATATGTCCTGAGTCTTAACTGACCTTAAAAGGCTAGGGCCAAAATGTTGGCTTTCCTAGCAGCCCTCCCTTTTCTCTAATTTTGGTCTGCAATCTTAGGCTGTTAACCATCCAGAAGACAAGCTTATTGTTATTACCATACAACTTAGGCTGTTAAGCTTAACCTCACTATCTGTCTGCATATCAAACATCTTAGGCATAATATGGAACAGGTATTTTTCATCAAGTATTGATATGTTGAACTTTAAGTCCCTACAGAATATGATAAAAATGTTTAACAATTAGAATATATTTTAAAAACAGGCATAAAGAATTATATACTTCCTATGTTTACACATAAGTCCAAAAATCTCACCATATACAACCTTGAAGCAGGACAGTCCTACAATATTCCTTTTCCTGTCTCTTGCTTTCATTCACCACCCCCTTCTTTTTGAACAACATCTACATGAGAGCCATCATAGCAGCAACTGGCATGTCATAACAAGAAGCCCATATTCAGAAGACCAGAATGACAGGCACTCCAAGCATGAAACTACTATTACAAATTACCATCTGCAGTGCAGTAGCTTAGTTAACAGGTATCAGTATATATAGTTAGTCAGGATGAGAGTGTTTTCAATGAACTGCTAGATTAAAAAATCTTCTGAAGAGTCTCAGGATCATTGCCTTGCCCATCTTCTACATATAACTGTATGGCTTGACTTATTCATGTTTCCTAGCTCTTCTCCTTTCCCTCTCTTGATTAGTTAGTCCTTGAGATCCTGCTTTCCTTTTTACTTGTATTATACCTTTCTATTTGTATTTCTCCTGACTAAGGGCTTATCAATCTTGTTTTTTCTTTCAAGGAATCAATTTTTTAATTCATTGATTCATTGTATTGCTATTTTTGTCTCAATTTCATTAATTTCTGCTCTGATCATTATAATTCCTTCCCTTCTATGTTTTGGATTTGTTTTGTTCTTGGTTTTTCTAGGACCTTGACATGCATCATTGGGCATTGTTGGGTGTGGTTGGGATTGTTGTATTCTTTCAATGTATGCATGCACAAGTGTAAACTTCCTTCTTAGTAATGCTTTCATCATGTCACATAAATTTTGATTTGTTTTACTGGTCATTTTGATAAGTTTTTATTCCTATTTGATTCTAGGAATTTTTAGTGTTCTCCCTGATTTCTTCTCTGACTCATTGATTATTTAATAATGTATTATTTAATTTCCATATATTTGTACAGCTTCTGTGGGTTTTCTAGCTGTTGATTTCTTGTTTCATTACACTATGATCCGATAGTAAAAACAGGATTGTTGTAATTCTTTTGTACTTATTTAAGCATGCTTTACAGAGTAAGGTACTACTTTTGAAAAACTTTCATGTGCTACTGAAAAAGATGTATATTCTGTTTTATTGGGTGAAACATTCTGTGTATACCTATTAAATTCATTAGTTCACTGGTATGATTTAACTCTGATATTCCTTTGTTAATTTTTTTGTGTGGTTGACCTGTCTATTCGAGATTGGAGTATTGAAAAATCTTCCACTGTGATTGCATTGGTGTTTATCTGTCCTTTTATATCCAGTGGTTTTTGCTGTGTGATACTGCGTATGCCAACATTTGGTACATGTATATTTACAATTATTATCTTTTCCTGTTGAATTATTCCCTTTACCAGTGTGTAATAGTCATTTGCGTCTCCTCTGATCAAGAAAATATTTGAGAAATAAAAAAAAGTATTGCTGCCTTATGTACTAATTTATTTTGTTGTGTATTAAACAGCAAATCCTGAATATCATATGCAGGGGATATAAGTAATAACCAAAACTGACCACATCAGCTTCATCCTGGTACTGTGAGTTTCGTAAGTGGAGTTTTAATATGACAAACTCTCTTGTGCAACAGGATGTGAGCTGGTTTGATGACCCTAAAAACACAACTGGAGCTTTGACTACCAGGCTTGCTAATGATGCTGCTCAAGTGAAAGGGGTATGTACCCCCTTCCTGTTTGTGATTGTTTTAATTTCAGTTTGAATTTCAGCATGACATTGATTTTCTCATTACAATTGTTATCATCATTAAGAGAATAGACATCAAAGCCATAAATATATCATGAAGAATAACAAATTTTTTTTTACATATTATTTACTATGCAGTGTAGCTTGTAAGCTTTCTTTTCATATTGGTTTGTTATTTATCCTGCTAAGAAGATGCATGCAAAAGAACATATTTTCAGTAAGGAAGGATTCTCAGCATATTAGTTGGGGTTATTGTATTTTAGTACTTAATTGTTAGAAAATTGTAATTACTACTGAAAAAAGAATGTGCATAGTTACCTTTCCAAAAATTCAGAAGGGAAAGAAGAAAATATTCCTAAAAATAGTTGAAACAAATACAAATATAATGCATATTAAATATGAAAGCAAGTATAGGAGGAATAACTTGAAGCTGTCAAACAATCAAGTTTTGAGTTTTAGCCGAGTTTCAGTTTCTTCTACAATTACAAATTTTCATGGTAAAAATCTACACAGCAATGTGAAATTTTGAGGAAAAAAAAAGAGAGATTTCTGCTGTCTCTCCCTACTGTTACCTGTATCAGTCTGTGTTTTAGTTGTCCTTGGGAGCAGCATTGTATTGACATTTCTTCTGCATAATAGATGAGGCTTCTGTAGGAACAAGTTAGATTGTGGATGTAGGGACACAGAGCTGCACACTTTCAGTATTAATCTTAAGAATCCTTTTCCACACTTCTTTGCAAAACAGCCTTTCAACTTAAGCTCAGTAATTGTATCAGGTAAAATCAAATGTACTTTATTAGTTTTGCTATCTCTTTCAGCCCTGGTACAGCTGTCTGTGGTGGAATTTAATGTACATAAAGGCTAATTGTGGTTATAGCTCCTTTTCCACATTGTGTTAGACTAGTGCTTATGTCAGAAAGATATGAAATGATTTTAGAGGTATTAATTTGGGCAGTTATGAAGGATTCTTCCCCCAAATTTAGACTAGATAGCTTTGATTAACATAGTTCCTGAAGTTCTTACTTGGGAAAGATTTGTATACAGTCACAGGTCTGGCACTGGCTAGCCTGAACTTAGTTGTGCTTATGTGAGACCAACTCCACTTGAGCAGAAGAAACTTTAGGAGAGGAGAAGAGCACAGGTCATTTCTAGACAAAGCAAGCAGGAGATAGAGTGAGAATTTGGAATGGTTTGAGGACACAGTATTGCCAATGTAGAAGGGATGTGGAGCATTGAAATGCAGAGTGGTGGATGGAATGGACTTTATAGACTGACCTTTGTTTTGTTTTTAAAATTGTGCTATGGAGTTGCCTTTTATTACTTAATTTTTTATCAGTTGGTGTTTGCAGTACATGATATCACTCACGTGGAGAGCTGCCGCATGTACATAACCCATCTTAAAGCTTCTTTTATCTCCTTAACCTCCATTATTCCCCTGCCCTTCATCTCTCGATCCCTTTCCCATTTTCAGAAGACTTTACTTCCTGCTATTATCTTTTATTGTCTATCGTTTATTTTGCTGTTTAATTTATTTATGCTTTATGGAACCTTGTGATACTTAAGCCTGTATGTCTCAGTTATTTCACTTAACATTTTGGAGTCAAGGTTTTCCTATGAATGATGCAAATCTGTCATCTGGTTTTCAAGGTGACAAGTCATTGCACACTACCACAGGAATGGTCAGACTCCCACTGGTATGCAAACTGAAGGTTGCAATGCCTGCTTCACCCAAATTAAATTTGATAACTTTTAGTTATATGTATTCATTGCAAATCTATTGCAGGCTAAATTAATCATAGGAAGCATTTCAAACAGACCCAGATATATTTGAATATCCTTAGTGGAAACTTCTAGCCTTAAATTGTAAGTAATTATGTGGCTAACATTGGGAATTTCCATTTATATTCTCAGGGTTTTTTTGGCGTTTTATTTTATTTTATTTTTTTCCATAATTTTGTTGAGAAACAAATGACATTGAGACAGTTTCAAACCAAATTGGTAGGACAGTTTCAATAATTCACACATTGCATACATTCTTCCTAGTGGTTAATTGCTGTACAAATGTGGACATGATATCTTATTTACAAACACTATTAGAATAAATCACTCTATTCATTAAGAGAATGTAACTATATATCTATCCTAACCATTTTGAATACACAGATACAAAATGGATATTCATCTGTATCCCCC